TATCGCGATATATACTACGAGCTAGTCACGTGATACTGCACCACAATACAGAAATATTAACTCCTAAGCATAAAGTACCCCTCTTTTCTTGCAGCACGGGGGGATTTGCGTGACACGGGGAAGGAAATCACAACTACCACGCCAAACTCCTTCCATCTACTCTCAGCGCTAACAATATAAACATAGTAAAACCGACCTTTTTCATATAATCAGCTCTATACTTTCACGTTCTTACTTCTCGCGGAAGAATTTATAGCGTGTGCGAGTATTCTATTCCATTATCACTATTCGCAGAAAGAGAGGCGTAATGTTTTCAAATATTACGAATCCTACGTAGTTCGCTACATCTCGTTCCAAATGACCGTAATCCTACATAACTAGTCGCTTCTAAGCCTAGACTTGTACTCAAGAGCTGCCTGATTGAACGAGAACATTACGGCTTCTGTCTAGTGCGTAAGAACAAACCGTAGGCAGCTACGGGCCGGACGAGTTCTAGCTATATAAAGAGGTTAATGCCAATTCGGCGTTAATCATATTTAGACGGCGACACGACATTCAGGCTTTGAAATTGTGTGTTGTTTCTGAAGCGAGCAGCCAAATATTCAAGTCCGGCCGTCTCCGGATCTGGTAGATATAAGCACACCAGTCTCACCATGTTTCTCGCACTCGCAGAAAGGGTATTCTGTGCTCTTCCCACATTCTAGCTGAACGGAAATTCCTTCAAGGAACTTGCTTCTCCCTAAAGAGAGTCGTTAAGCATTGTCTTTTTTCTTACTACTAGTTTCGTCTGCAGTAACGTCCTCAGTTACAAGCTGCTAGGCGATGGGGTTGAGAAAAGTCTTGATTCTATTGATATGATGTATAACTAACTTACTCCCTTATAATTATTTGAACATCCTTCCCTTCCAAATACGAGAGACTAATAGCGAAAGCAATAAATTTTCCAAATATAATCTAGCGCGTGCACACCACGTAATATAATCATTCCTCACCATCCAGCTCAAGCAACAGCGTCGCTGCTAGCAGCAACGAAGAGCAACAAGCCCCAACTATAAACTTCGTTCCAAGCTCAACTAACCCGCTGTCACCATCTCCCGTCAAGCTAAATACAACTATGCCTAAGCACGACGCCAGCATCTATAGCGTTGCGATAGCCACGTTGCTTAAACTTTAAAGCAATACAACCTAGCTCGACCCGTGCCCACTCTCCAAGATCTCGACATTGATAAGTGCGAATAGTATCCATTGTGTCACCGCCCAACTTATTCCTACTATAGCTACTACAACCACCACGCCAACTGCTAATTACATAACAATAATACTCACCAGACTAGTAGTATACAGTACCTGCGAAGCATACCATATATAATGTTTCTTCTAAGCTGTGGAGCTATAGTATGCCGCTAACCAGAAGCTCATAGAGGGCCCAAGGGACGATATAAGCAATACCACGGAAGCAAAGCACAGTAGAGCTAATGACCTATACCTGCCTCTAGACTTTTGCAGCTTCATCCCTTGATCCATTCTATCTATATAACTGTGACATATTTTATTAGACTAAATCAAATTATATAAGGATATAAGAGAAGGAAAAAAGCATACCTGCTAATATATATAAGCAATAGAAACCATCCAAACCAAGAGAAAAACTATACGCCCTAGATAATCCACATTCGCCTTAACAGTCTCAGATCCCATCTTCTTATTAGTTTGGTCTCTCCTAAAATCTTACCATAAAACCACTTCTCTTAACTGCACCAACAAGTCACCATCTGCGTAATTCCAATCACAAAGGCACTAAGCTTGCTCAACACCTAAAGCTGCGTCGATCCGGCCCATAGTAGTAGTCTGGGCAAATCTGCATAAGCAAAGAGATAGCATAAGACGCTGGCTGCATTTATCAACCAGCTTACCCAAGCATTTACATCCGATTGTTGATTCTGGGTATAGCTGTTAACTATTAGCGCACGTAATCCCATCTGAACTGCTGATGCCGAAACATTTATGGTTAAGATGAGTAATGTAGCAATCACTTGTGCTGTGAGATAAGTACTGGGTATATAACTATGGTTAGGACTTGCTTGAACACGGGCTACTATGTCCGTAAAAGTAAGTAAAGAAGCTGATAGTCTAACGGCACCGCCAACGATGAAGGGTCTCCGTCTTCCTTATCGCGTCTGTGACGAGTCGCTCCATATGCCCAGCCATAGCTGCAACATAGCCCCGCATATGGGCGGGATGAGCCATATAGCGCTGATTAAAGCTCTGCTTAAGCTAAGCGAGCTTAAGGCTTCCTTAAGTAGTGATTATTAGCTACTGGTGTATTTTGTGACCAATATGTGTATTACGTACTGTAGTGAAAGCGAATTGGACTGAGTAACTAACTTGTAGGCTTTGTTATCCGCAAATGAAATTTAGCTAAATTATAACGCAATGTATGCAAAATGTATATGGCGTAGCTTATATACCCTGCAAACCTATAAGTTAAGCCGGCTAGCTTTATGGGGCTTTTTCTCCGCTCGAACTGTATTTCCTCTTCTTCGTCTTCGGTATGAAGGGGATGTATTAGTGATAGGGGCAGAGTGGCCAATATAGATATAATACTGGAAAAGCAAGAAGCTAATGTTGCAATGTCGAGTGTAAAGGCTTAGAAAGTATGCTATTCTCGCTGAAACTCATTATATGAATACGTTGAAGTATATCCTATCTAAGATAAATTTTAATTCCGAGCAAAGGAACCAAAAGCCCTAGTCAAGTTGCTTATAGTGCTGGGCTCCTCTAGCCGGCGGACCGAAGTAGCCGATGAAATTCTATACCGCAAGCATTATATTAAGAGATAAAGATATGCGCAACTATTTGAGTTTCCAAAGCGTATTTATCAGATCTGCACAATTTAGCTCCCAGAGCACGCTTTATATTCTATTTTCTTTTTCTAAAGACTAGTTAATTGTGGTTTGTAAAGGCTAAGAATTGCGGTCTCCTAACGTTAGCGACAAGAAAAATCTATTTGTAATACTGCTATTTCTACTAACTTAACGAATTCACGGCTGCAGCTGAAGCAAAAGTCGTTTAATTAACTTGTGCGCTAGGTGCACGAGCGAAGAGCATTGCCAGATCTCTAGGGTCGTCAGCATAATATAAAACCATTATTAGACCCAAGCGAGTAGCTTAATAGCCACGAGCGAATCCAGACCCATCGATTCAAGGCTCTCTATAATTACTAGATCCTTAATTGGTTGTATAAGCAAAGCGAACAAGGCTTTCCCAATAGCAGTAGCAAATTTAGTTACTGTCTCTTCCTCTCTTATCTTGTCTGGGTGAAGCCTAGACAACTCGACCAACTCACTCGCCGCATTATCCTCACAATAGGGTTTCCTTGCATCGCCCGGCGTAGCAGTAGAGAAGCAGTTTACAATGGACATACGTGCGTCTCTCTTCCAGATAACGCGATTTACGGGGTTCAATAGCGGTAGATCGGACTATATCCCTAGACACAGCTAACTCTTGTTCGTCGATGACGATGATGATGCTGATAGTTAAGAATATAAGTTGGCAATGGCAATGGACAGGCTATCCAGCAGGTCCTGCTCTCCAAGCATTGCGTATCCGGCCTTGCGAAATTAATTCGCGAGCCTCTCGTCTTGCGCGACGACACCAATCTCGCCTATGATACTAATGTCGATCACTGATGCAGCCAAACCTTTACTATGATGGTATTGAACAAAGGCGTTAAGGAACGCGTTAGCGGCCGTGTAATTTGCTTGCCCGTATTAACCAGTGATACCATTGATGGATGAGAGTAAAACGAAAAAGTCAAGTAGTGCGTCTAGAAGGGCGTTGTGAAGGTTCTATGTGCCTTGGACTTTGGGTTGCACATATGCATCCTATTTAGAAAATGACATTTGTTTAGCTGGAGCATCCTAGATAGGTCAGCATAGTGTACCTTCGCGAATTGAAAAATGGGATAGGGAAGTAACAACGCACTTTGAGTACTATTAATATTTACATCACGCCTGCGACGGGGTTGGGTGCAAGTCGAACCACCATAGCGACGTCTGTGGGGCTACTAACACTCCTAGTAATAATTGTGGTAGTACAGCCCTGACTTCCCAACTCTTCGAGGAACGCTTTGGTCTTGTTACTGCTGGCGCTGCGTGATAGGTAGACTAAACTGCGTGCCCCCTTCTTGACTATCCACGTAGATATCGCTTGGCTGAGACCACCCAACCCACCGATAAGAAGATACAAGACATCAGGGCGGAATTCTAGTACGGCCGCAAGAACAGACAGAGCGCCAGAACTCTTCAGCGGCACCTCGCAGTCTACAAGCTCACTAAGCAGTAAGGACCAGCGCATCCAGGGCACCTTCACAATCCCATCATCATCGATAGCGTATTCATAGTCTGACTCTACCTCCGCACAGTAGAAGTCAATCGTACGCTTCCTCTCTAAGACAGTACTGTAGAGGCTAAGTAGGGCGCCAAGGGCACCGCCGGTAGTCACCGTAGTAGCATCGACCTCAACAGTTGTGATATCCACCCCATACTCAGCGCGAACGGTTCGAGCGAGACCAAGCATCATAGAAGGACGGGGATCAGTGCATAAAGTTTACGTTGGAGGTAGAAGCCAGAGTAAAGAACCCTAGAACCTACACAAATTGTGCATCAGCAGTCCAAAGCTATCTTTATTAGCCGTGTAGACGCAGGATGAACCTTGAAGATCAAGAAGCGATATAACGATATTCCAGTGCATGCCCCCAAGGGAATTTACGTCGGAGCAGATATCTATTTAGATGCCATAAGCCAGAAAGTGTCTCTATACAGAACAGGTCGTTGGGTGATTTGGGTCCTGCACCAGGAGAGTAACTTAATAGGCAATGTCTGCTGCCGGGCTAGCAATCTGTGCTAGTATAATATTAGAGGGAGTAGCATCACAAAGAATCAAGAAGCCTGTCTTGTAAAGTGTTTCTTAGAAGTCTAGTATTAGGTTAGCGTTATTCATAGGCAGTTTAGACTAGAGGAATATCTTCGTATTATTGTGCTTACTCGTCAATACATTGTGTAATAATAATCTCCCGTGAGGACGAAGCATTCTCTTCATATTGCTAAGATTGTCTGTAAGGCCCCCAATCTATATTAGAAGCTTTAATTGAATTAGCTCGAAACATCTGGATCGTGAAGGGAATGAGTATACCTCTGTATCTGCAATGATTAGGCTAAAAGCGCTTGCTGAAGCTTTGCTGTCTTGCTCTTTGCTGCCTGGTACTGGATATATGAAATTGATTCCCCTAATATCTGTAAGTCTCTCTTCGGCTCTTGCTTTTGCTTCAACAGACATACAAGCATATATATACCCTAAGAAAAGCCGCTCCCCATCCCTTAGCTCCATAGCACCTACGGTAACTCAGGTGACAGTATCTTCACCAGATCCTAGCTCTAAGATTTAAAGTGCTGGGTCCTTTAATCCAATAAGCGCAATAAGTTCGCGAAGCGACATATACGCATATTGCTTTCTTAAGCTCAAGAAGTCAATATCTGTAATCCAATGAAAATACGACGCAAGTTTGCGCTCTTTGTTATGTTGTACTAACGGCACCTCCAAGAAGCCTGCACTCTTCATATAGATTAAAGGTTCTCCTTTAGGGCTTGCAACTACGATATTGCTCAAAAATCCCCCCTTATAGTCACGGGCTTTCGCAACAATATACATCTCATCGCTAGTTGCGCCCCATACCACGAGCTTCTCGATAGACGTTAGTATGCAGAGGCGTTTGCAATAACGCCGCAATCCCCACAACCACGCAACTAGACTAATCTAGAAACATTAATCTAAGAGAACTAGGTGCGCAGCATACCGAGTGGTGTCATCAAAGTCCATAACCGTCGCTCTAGCCCATAACTCTACAGTACCTGCTATAATCTCATCAAGGCCGCAAAATGCCGTACCATACTCAAGGCCAATTGCTTTAGCAGTCTCGTACCAACCCATAGCTAGCACGTGTCGCGGTAGCGGTTCGTCCACAGTAGGCACAACATCATCAGTAGTGCCGGATCGGACCATACCAGTACAGTAGCTTGTCCACGCTATTCCATCGTTGGATATAACCTTGAATTCGTACCATCTAACGCGGTTAGTTTCGGCATTTTGGGGTACTAATCGAGTCTATAGCTCAATAACCTTATCCACGTCGAGCACGAGCGGTGCAGTGAGGCGGAAGTCATACATCGTGTAGGATTCAATTCCGCCCGATGCCTAGCGAACTGCCTCACCAACCATGGCGATATACCCAGCTCCTAAGTAAACGACTTAGCCTGCTACGATATAATCAAGTAGCCAAGATGCGTCCTACACATTCAGAAGATTGCGCCAGGCCGGCTCAATATCGTTTCCTTCCAAGACTCGAGTGCCCAGAAGGCTATAGCGTAGATATCTGCGGTTCTTATAGACATATACATTGCGAGGCTAGTTAATGTACGTATTATAGAGCCACAGGTATACAGGGAGGTCAGTAAGAATGCGTCTGGGGTTCAAGATGCGTGCTAGATCAATACCAGCATACTAGACAAAGAGTTCTCCCGCAGTCCACAATAGCGCAGAGTCAGCCTCTTCATCTCTATAAAGCGTCCCTAGATAGACAGCATAAACTTTTAGCATATCGCGAAGAATCTAATTAAGAGGTCCTTATAGGGCGGAGTGCGGGCCAATCTCAATAAGCAGGTAGCTAGAGTTGGCATCTCCACTGCGAAGAAGACCCTCAACAGCCAATGAGAAGTGAACAGGCTATACGAAGCTACGATACCAGTACTCGGCACTAAGGTCGTTTCCTTCTACTAAAGTACCCATAACCGCAGAGAAGAAGGGAATCAAAGGGGTGCATACATCGTGAAGATAAGGCCTGATGAGAGCCTCGTAGGTAGGCCTATAAGGAGCCATATAATAAGAATGGAAAGCACTCTCTACTTTAAGCATGCGTGCCAGCACACTAGAGTAGCTCTAAACAATATTGCGTATAACCTCTTCCACAGCTACACGGTCTCCTAAGATAGTATAGCTGTAAGGGCTATTCTCGCACGCCACAACCGCGCCAGGGACTAACAAATAGCGTATCTCATCAGCGCCCAAACCAATAGCTGCCATACCACTAGCCTAAGTAGCCTGCGAAGGCGACTGTCCATAGTAAAAGGTAATAGCAATAGCGGCCTCGGCAGTGATTGCGCTAGTAGTATAGGCTCCCGCGATTTCTCCACTTAAGTGGCCGACAACGGCGTTAGGCCGCAAGCCCCAGTGTTTTAGTATATCTACTAAGGCGATTTAAACAGCAGTAGTGCATGGCAGCGAGTATTCAGTTTTTATAACCTAGCTAGCATTAGCAGGCCGGAGCAGCTCCTCTAAACATGCGTTAGTTAATTCCACTAGCATCAGGTATAAAATGGTATACTTGCCTTCAATTGTCCATTCTAGGGGGCTTTTATACAATGCGCTTAAGTATACGTCTAACCTGCGGATAGTGCTGCGGAAAATAGGATGCGTTTCAACCAGGGCCCTGCCCATTTGGGGTGCCTAAGCTCCCTGGCCAGTAAAGACAAAGACAGTATAACGCGGCTGCCGGGGCCTAGTGCGAAGGACTCCCTACTTGAACTGTTAGCCTAGACCGTTACAAATAGCATACCCACGATATGCTAGGTGGTCACGCCGACAGCCTAGCGTATAGGCTAGATCGTCAAGGTTAGGCACCTTGGTCTCGATATACTCACGGTGTTGCTACACCCATACAGCAAGCGACTTTGAGTTGGATACACTAAAGACAAGCAGGCATGGCCCTTTAGGCAGCTTAACACCCACGCTTACTCGGTCCAGTTCGGCGTGGTACGATTCAAGGATAACCTACATCAACTTGTTGTTAGTGCGCTAGACTTGACAGAATACGTATGTACGGGTGATACCTATATGTGTATTCGATCCTCCTACTCTGAACGAGTTTACGCTGATGCGTTTGGTATGGTCTGTGGGCTATGGCAGTGGTTCGGTGGGCACCGCCAGACGAGCTGATTTTTAGGGGACTGTAGTGTTAGACTTATGGAACGACTATAATTAGGGATTAGAACGTACTTCTGGGATTGGGGATATTAAAGTAGATGTTGGGGGGAATCGTCTTATGTTCGAGTGTGAGGATAGCCTTAATAGTACTTAATATTCCCGCAGCGCCTTCTGAGTGACCAACGTTAAGCTTAATCTATCTTATGTGTTAGTAACAATCTATATGGGCATTTCTAAGGGCATTTGGCCTACCACTCTAATAAGCACACCGCTCTCGCCAAACACATTAGCCACAGCGCCGACCTTAAGCGGGTCGCCGACCAGCATCCCTATTCCATAACACTTAAAGAAACCAGTCTATCTATAGTTAGTTATGCTAGCTTTAGCGTATGTCTTACAAATAAGTGCTTCTTGTACTAGTGTGTTTAGATTCAGCATTCTTATCTTCCTGCCATCATAGTTCGTCGCACTAGCCCAGATAACGGCGCGAATAGTATTACCATCGCGGATGGCATCGCTAAGTCGCTTAATATACACAGCATTAACAGCCTCACCGCGTCTATAGCCATCTGACGCTACATCAAATGTCTTGCACTTTCCTGTCTTAGAAAGCAATCTATGTTTGGTATAGACAACCGTTATAAGCGGCGAGGTCATCAGGTTGCATCCTATAACTATTGCAGCCGAACAGCTTCTAGCACCTAGGGCTTTAACAGCAAGGTGCAAGGCAACGAGTGAGGCCGAACAACCTATCTTAACTATCATGCTCAGCCCCGTCTAGTTGTACTCGTACAACACCTAGTTAGCTAAGAAAAAATCTATAAATCTTAGTGCACGATAGATACCCAACATGTGCGCGTCCATAATATTTTCGTTAAGCTAATCTTCGCCGAACGATCCAACATAGTATCCAATTTCCTTACTACGCCATTCTGTCTCGCCCACATTTTCAAGACACTCCTATATAATTTCTAGAAGCTGCCGTTGGGCCAGATCTATGCGTTCAGCCTCCTTATAGCTAAAGGAAAAAAACAAAGCATCGAATTGTGTAAGATCAATATCGTTAAGGAAGTAGCCATGTTTTGTTTGCATAGTCCCCACCATCGGTGTGTCACTCTGGAACCCTTCGGCATTATATCTCTTCTTAAGAATGTCCACCAGTCCACTCTTTTTAGCTATTAACATCTCCTAGAGATCTTCTACGTTGTGCACCCGCCCCAGGAGCCTCATAGCCATACCTACGATAGTAATTAGCTCTAGTTGTCCCTGCATACTAGCTACTCGCATATTCAGCTCTATACATCTTCTCAGCCAGCTTAATAATACTCACCTATTTGTGTTGTGGATTTAGCATAGTATTTCGTTAGATTAGTACTTTTATACTAGGGACTAGGCCTTTTGAAGCTTCCTATTAGTCATTCGGTTTTCCATTAACCAGGTCGACGTCCATTCTACCGCTCCACGAGCAAAGCGAGAGTATAACGCGTTATAAATAATAACCGCTAGAGCGGGTATTTTTGGAAAACATCCATATCACAGTACACTAAAGATAAAAAGGTAGATTGCAACCAGTCTCTCTAGGCATAGTAGTAACTAATTACTTTACTGTATCCTAGAGGTAGCCGCGCAGTTATACATCCCCTACTACTCATACTTGATATGAAAGTACTAGGGGAAAATGACTGCATCTAATGAGCCAAACCCTTCTTCTACATCACAGTGTCCATATTGAATAGGACTCGTCACTTTAGTCAAGAATCCTCATCTTTCACTCAGAGTTTCTTCAAATTAATCATATTTCGTAGATTGTGTGCTTCAAGCCAACTTGTGAGCGCAACAGCACCACGGCAGTGCTAACCCACAGGCTACAACGGACTAGTAGTTTTCTGTGGAAGCTTGACTATTTTCGGAATAGCTATGATCGAACTAAGGGCCCGAAAGAGAGCAGCTTTGTGATGGTATCTCGTACTATCTTAGTAGGTTACTTTTTACGTTTGGTACGCATTCCCTTTCTTGCAGATTTGGCATTGGTTATGGCGCTAAGGTTAAATTATTTATCGTTCGTCTCATAATGAAAATCTTGGTTGTGTTAATAGCCAGGATAAGGAGCAAGAAAAGTGCCTGTACAGGATGTGTACCAGAGCCTTCGCAACTTCGTGACGACATATATATCTGACGATGGCATGCATCGGAGAATATTAGAATTAGATGTTTTGACTTATCTCCTTAAAAGGTACTAGAGCGATATCGCTAGAAAAAGATGAGTAGCCTATTGCAAGCGGCAAGGCAACCAAGTATAATTCGTCACTAACATTAGTAGCCCCTAGATCAGCTTCCCCTCCGTTCGTTACTTAATCCGGCTTCAATTTTGGGCCAATAGACACTAGCCAGAGGTGGTCAGAGAATCTTGCTTTCAGACTAAAAACTCGGTATGCACCATACAGATCCAACCTCCAGTCGCCCTCGGATACCCAGAGCCAGGTCACAGTGCGGAGTTATAAAAGTGCCCTCTGTATCTCTGGCACCATAAAGCAACACTTTACCTCATTCTATCGATGCCGGAGATGCCTACAAGTTCGTATATACAACTAAACCAGTCCTTTGACGATGATGAACACCCGATGTTGCTGGACAAAGAGCGCTTCATACCCCACCAACTCAAATGGCTATATCACCTCAAAGAGAGTTGGAAAAACTACACGTTGGCGGTTAGCCTTGTCATAATCACAGCGCTTGTCTCAGCGCTAGCCATCCAAACACGATATACCCAGTGCAAACCAGACCTTGACACTTCAGGGTACTTATGCGCACCGTCTGGAACGCACCCTTCCGTCGCTCATCAGCGAGGCTGTGAATATAATTGGATGTCGTTTCACTGGCTACCCAAGGATCGCTTTAACGCCGAAAACAGGGCTCTGATACGAGAATTCGAGGAGCTTGGACCCTGGCATCGGTTTTCAGATGCAGAGGGAACTCAGGTGATGAGCGCCGAGGAAACCATCCTATCGACTAGGTTCTGGCTGACCAAACGAGAACACCTTCACCACTGCCAGTTCTCTCTGCGACAAGCGTACCTCTTTATGGCTCGCGGCCAGGACCCAGCGTTCAACTACACACACATCGTACACTGTTCACAGGCCCTGATAGACGCCATCTATGAAAGTCCTCCGCCGGACATGGATACGCCAATCATTAAGGTTATTCCGTTTCCAAAACATCCAGAGATTGTAAGTGACTCAGATTTGCATGATAGGCGCTCTTTTACTGACACAGGATAAGGTCAAACCCTACTATCCATGCGACAATGAAGGACTAGGCTGTTTATCATGGAAATGAGAAGAGAGGATGCTGATTCATGACTCCTCTCATCCCAATCCACTCAAATTGAATATGATGCGGTTTCAAGCATATTCGGTGAATAAGTGCTATATGGGATGGTTTTTTTCTCGTTTTTGTTAACGTGTTGAAGAAGGGGGTGAATGAAGACTTGAACAACGGCTAAAGGGAAGTGTCTTATTGGCAACGAAGAAAATACATCAACACAATTCCCAACTCTAAAACAACCAACAGACTTTCTGTTTGACTTTTTTAATGCCATTTCCTTTCGTGTAAGGTTCCGAAATACTTCTTGTGGGCAGAAAGCGTTGCACCTAGCCTCCATATCATTGTTCATAGTATGTTCAACATGGGAATTGCTCTGCGACCATTAAACTTCCCGTAGCCCCTAGTTTCTCACATTCGAATCTAAACCGTATACAGATGTTAATAACTATGGAAAAGACTCATCGGCCCACTGCCGCAATGCCGAAAAATTTCTGCACCTAAATTGTTGTCCGTCGCCAATGTGGTCGTTGTCAGGAAGAAAAGAGACCACAGATGCGTCTGCAAAGCAACTAACCGCTTCGCGAAGGCTATTCAAACAATGAGCCACATGCGGAGGCTCCCAAACAGAGTTCTGGCCGTGGTGTCTGTAGCCATAAGCTTCCAACAGTACTTCCTGGTACAGCTTAGCAACTAAACAACAAACTTATAAGGACGTTGATTTGCGCTTACCACACAGTGCATCTGATGCAGGCCTCGAAGACCATACATCTCACGGTTAGAATGATCCCAATCGCAAGTCCCAAGCTTGTGCATCTTGCCGTCATATCCCATGTATGTTGTGTATCTTCCATGTACCAAAACATTGGACGCTTCGATCGTCAGACACGCGTACCAGGTCATCTTTATGAGTTAGGAGTTTCACTTACATTTACTTATCATTCTCAGGCGGTCTACCATCCATTTGACCTTTTCGAGCGTTTCAAATGTATCTAACTTGATGAAATAAGGATCGTTTTCATCTATAGTTGTATATTCGACAGGTCCGCCGATCTCTTTCGAAAGATGTTAACTAAATCAGGGGTTGAAATGCAATATTACTACTCACCTTTGGGCACAAACCCTGTAGGGTCTTCTCCGAGAAGTGACGGAGAAAGTGGTAGAGGATGCGAAACCTCAGGCTTGAGATTAGTCACTAAGAACAGACCCAATGTAACACATGATGCCATTAAAGCTATGCAAAGTATGCATAGTCGTCGAAGCCGCCTCACGAGCTCCTCATAGGCTTCAAGAGATACTTTTTCGGTATCGTTCTCGTCCTCCTCTCCCAACGGACTGTATTTCGTTCTCTCAGCCATGATGAAGGTTATGTTGCTAGGAATGACCAAGGTCGCAAAATCGCATTTGGTGTTGGTGGAATGCGTGTTGTCTTCGCTTCAATAGGAAAGGGCTCGATAGGCATATTCCTAATTGCGCTCTTCTTCTCTTGGTTAACCGACAGATCCGAAGTCCCTTCATTCCGACACCGGTCGGCACACAACAACAAGACATCCGGTGCTCAACTGGGGCATTCGTGCAAGCTCTAAAGGATACCCGAAAACAAGACGCATGAATGTTGCAATACGAGCGGTACATATACCACGACCAACGAGACCATGATCTAGTGCTGAAGTTGCAATAGGGATGAGAGAGCATTTGATGAGTTTCTACAGACACTACACAGTTACGGCGACTGCCCTCTCGTCACAGATCCACAGATGAGTTGTTCACCAGACTCTGTCGATACTGTCCCTCCATCTCCAATCTGATTTAAAGTCACGTCCCTGTATATCTCGTATGATGAAGTTCCAGTTTTGTCGCGCCTGACCGTAGGCACCACTATGCTCATCCGTAAGCAAACTGCATTCATTAATATATGGATAGCTCACAGAAATAACCTAGAATCTCCCATAGAAATAATGTATGAATTGTGATGTCAATCTAGTTGTGCAACTAGCGTATCTGCATCTGTAATCGAACTGCTACTTTTTTGAGGAACAACTCCACAGTCTACCTACCGATACATACATTCAATGCCCTCTTCCGGAGCGTAGATCTTGGTGGCTGTTCTACTTAAGAGCCCCTCGACACCAGGCAGACCATTGAGCATGATACAATGCATAGTATGTTCCTCAGACAAAGTGTCGCTATCCCAAGCCCTTTTACCATGTTTCCATGCTACCCATTGCTTCTCCCAGAAGTAGGTGCAGTGCAAGTGATGTTGAATGCCGTTCGTGTACAATACCGGATGATCCCCTTGTAGGGCAACATCAAGAGGGATCTCAGTAGTGCCGTCCTGGTCGACGTAATACGTCAGATTGAGCTTCCTGACATGTTCGATATACTTGGTGTACAACTCGCTATCCTGGCATCTCGCATCGATCCAGGATCCCATGATGAAGTCGTACACGCAATTGTTGTCATGGTTGTCTTTGGAGGTCAATCCACATGATCCGAGGCTCTGATAGCTTCGATGGGTGAAAAGATGCTTGTGGTCTGCCGCTATGTAACCGACCGTTCCACCAGCCATGACTAACGCGACAGCTGCAAGGAGATATAATAGCCAGGGCCTCGAAGTAGCTACTCGGGCGCTATATTTGGTTTGCGTTTGTATTTTCAGAACGATCCAGCATTCCTTAAAACGGTTTGTCCAAGGTATACGTCGGTTGGCTGATTAGTTGGGAGAGATAGATCGAACTTCCCCAGATAGCATCGCCAGACTTTCTTTGTCGAGGTCCTCCTCACTTAGTTGTTGATAGGAATTGGTTGGCATTTTGATGTAAGATAAGCAACTAGTAACAGAAATGTTACGAAAATTTCTAATAGGCACTGGAAAAGTCTTCTTAGTAAAAATAAGCTATAGGGCATGGAAATTGTTAGTTCGTGGAGGTAGTGCGCGCGCGATAGACCTTAGTTAGCACTCTTAGGCTAAATGACGTCTAATATATAAGATTGCGTCAACGATACAACTAACCGAGCATATTAGAATTTTTTATAGAGTGCAAGTGAATATGAATGCTTTCGACGGTGGTTCTGATGTCGCTTCTTGATGTTTAATTCTACTGGTAGTGTGCAATCAGAGTAAAATTCATACAGAGACTCCTAAATATAGCCTCTTTTACTAAGTGTTTATATATTACTTTTTCAAGAAAACATAAGCACTCACACCAACTTCGAGTTTTCTAGAATAGGTGTAATATCAGTCAAATATATACAAATAAACCCTAA